TCTAAACGGACGCCGAGGAGCTTGGGCTTACGGACCAGCGGTAAAGCCTCGCCGTTGACGATGATAGCCGGGTGACGATTGAACTCCTTCGGATCCAGCGTGAAAACAGTGACGGACGACTTGGCTGCCGAGATCGACATCCCGCGCTGAGTGAGGTAGTCCACAATATTAGGCTTCACTGATGTCACGGATAGCGGCGGCCGAAAGCGACCTTTTTGCAAATATCAACCCAGTGCTTGCTCTGGTGTCGCAAGCCGTAAACGGTTACGAGACCCATGCGTTCGACGTCTGACTTGACAGTGTTGAACCACGTCTTCAGTTGACCACCATGTCGGTATCTCCAGTTTGAACTACGAGGGGGGATTCACGACCATTCCACAAAGGTCCGTCGATGACTTGCGAAGGAAATATCCAAACATTGCAATCAGCGATGCTGGATGTATGACGCTAGACTTGGTAGTTAGAAACACCCGCGATATAGCTCAACATTGGAAATTTGATCCTGCCAGGAGACTCTTAAGATGCGTCGAAGATACCAACTGTCGAAGGCTTCCAGCAATAGAATGTCTGTCTTTCTGATTGGCCATGTTTCGCAAGCATATACTAACACCGGTCTGATGAATACTTCGTATATCAACAGCTTAGTACGTAAGCTGATGTGTGAGCGAGGCGAGAGTGTTCTGACTAGCAGCCTAAATGCACTTCAAGCCTGCGCGATTCAGTTCTTGTTTTCTTTTTTTGCGTGTCCATTGGCTAGTATATTTGAGTCCAAGTAGCGGAAACAGCCAACTTCTTCGATGGGTTGACCACTGATAAACAGCGATTGCACTGTGCCAAGATACATAGTCAGAAACTTTGTTTTGCATGTGTTAATCGTGCAACCAACGGTTGCAGCGAAGCTGGTGATTCGGTCTAGCGTTAGCTGTAGTGAACGGGGGGTATTACCAAGTAGAGTAATGTTATCAGCATACTCCAGGTCAGGTACTCATACTCAGGGTTCATTTCACGTCCACTATCAGGTAGAATTGACTGATGCATCACCCAGTCGATCAAGAAGTTGAAGAGAACTGGGGATAGAGGGCGTCTTTGTCAAAATTCAGAGGTCAGCTGGAAAGAATCTGACTCTTCTTCAAGGGTTCTGATGTTTCGATATAATAGGCTTTGTTCAGATTGAGCAACTTTATTGGGAGTCCGTCAGCGAGCAAGATTTTTGATATGAGAGGAATAATCATCTCAGCCTTGTGGCATAATTTCCCCAAATCCAATACCACGTAACTACCCATGGGCGCACAGGCTTCCGCGTAATATTTTATTAAATTTTTAAGCAACGGCCCCTTGTATATTGTGCCCCCACCTACATTTTGGAAGCCCACCTCTTTCCAACTTAGATCATGACGGTGTCGGCGATGACCGCATGTCCTAATTTGGATAGGTTTCGAATCGGCCTCGGAAGCTGTAGCTTTACAGCCCAGTTTGCCAATATTTATAACTGTCGTCTGCTGAACGCACGACCGGTCCTCGAAGCCTCCGCGTGTAAGCACTGGGGCGCCTCGAAGTCGATTGTTGCCAGTCTTCCATTGTGCTCTCTAGCTGACAGTTGACCAACTGTTGTCCTTTCCCAATTCATTTTCGAAAGTAAAATATAGCTAAGCAATCAGATTTGTTTCCGGTGACTTCAGTTTATTTAGAGCTATACGTATCAACCTTTGAGTACTTTATACGCTACTTATAACTGAGTACGGCGTAGAAAGAAACCATGTGGTTCGCAGTAGCTCTATGAGGATCATCGAATATGATGATTGGGATGTGAGTCTCATGGGTTTAATTTTAAAAAGCAACAGATGGTAATTCAAACCTTTTGAATTCGGAATGCCTGAAGGGGGTCCCATTCTATTTGCCTCTTATGTAAAGGAAACAAAGTAAGGTTATTTGGGCGGGTTGATTTTGGCAATTAACTTTGAACCATTAATTTTTTGGTGGCTATAATTTGAAATCTCTCGAGACTATTCTGCTTTTGACCTACCTATGTTTTCTAGTCATGCATAGCTTATGCAACAAATGCTTGTGAGACTCACTGATCTAAATCTATTGGGAAATTTTCTTCATCTTCCTTCATAAATATGGGCTATTTTGGCTAGCTTCAGCCAATAGGTAGAGCTCCCTCCTCCATCGACATTTGGAGAACTGGAAGGCCATTTGTTCTGCGTGCTCGTTGAGAACTTTCACTAGAATGCAATCCGAGCCAAGCTATTTAGTGCGCTGGAGGTCTCTGGGTATTTTTGTTACTGTGTTTGTTGCGAACGACTCCGTGAAAATTGTATCTGTTGGTGTGGTTATATATTGCGACTCATCGCTATACACATAGATATAAAGGAGTTAGACAAGAGTTTTATTTTATCCGGCTTATGAGTTAAATTGTTTCCATGGTTGTCTTCCAGAAAAGGAAAAGTGTTCCAATTGCGTTTTGCCTTGTTTACGTAAGAAAAGAACATTTTGATTGGTTAAGGATTTTTGGACTATTTTTGACACAAAGAGCAATCGTTCTTCCTGCAGGAAAAATCGACACATCGCTGTTTCTTAAAAGAGGACCAATCTGCAGGTTGTTGATGCCTGACATTTGTTTTCCCAATCTTATTTTCTTCTTGAGTTCCTTTTTATGTACCGTTTCACCCACTCCGGTGTGGAGACACCCGAGCTCTTTTAAGCGGACAAAATTTATGTACGAAGTGCTGAGTCAAGTTCTTATAGAAGTACCAGGTGGCGATTGGGTCAGATACGTGTACAGGACTTGAATCGATCCCGTTAAGTAGACTTTTTCTTTTGCTATAATTCCTTTTCTATGTATTCATCTCTCTTACTGCTCAAATGACGGATAGATAAAATGGCTGTACTCCCATGCAAGATAATGATGATCACTTCGGCCAAAATGAGTGCGAGAACTCAATTCAAGGATACCGTTTTCATTGCTGCTGGTCAGGAAATCCAAACAGCTCGACCACTGGCCATTTCGAAACCACGTGTCATTGTGACGGATTACCAAATGAAGTACTTTCTGTCTGAATGAGTTTTCTGATTGCGAGCAGCGCATAAACTCCCAATTAATGTCTAGAGAGATATGTGAACTATTGCGGCTTTGTGTTACATCAGGTAGGAGTGTATCGTCCATGCCCGTCCGTTGTTCTGGGGGTCTGTATGCAAAGGCAATCTGAAGGTTTGGTTGGTTCGGTACTCTTACTTTACAAATTAGTATTCCGCAGGGAGAGTTCCCGTTTGATTACAACTTATCGAGACGTCGTTAACGCTATTTCGGTCCATACAGACAAGCTGAAACCCTTCTATCCCAAATTATGCATCTGTAATCCGTTCAGTTAACCCTGTTTCATTTCGAGCTACGAGGTTAGGTTTGAAAATGCCCACGGCCATTTTGATTTTAATCATTATGTTTAGCAGACACTATGCGTTTGTGTACATCATCATCGTGTTTTTGTCTTCACTCTATCTTTAGGGGTTGGCTATGTTGTAATGTCGCCAAGAGCGAGATTTTGCTCCACCCAGACGCTCTGTCTCAATCCAACAAGGAGAACAAAGGCTTCATGCCACAAAGAAAAGGAAGTCTTTATTATGTCCCTTGTACGGGTATTTAAGTAACGAATGTTATAAATCGGGCCAATTAGATTGTGCTCTCGCGGGACTAGTGACTTGATTGGCAATGTGGTTGGGTCATTCCTATCGTGGAAGCTTCGTGTGACATCGGTTCGTTGAAAGAACGCACGTGCGCGCGCAGCCTTTGTATTTAGATGGACCGATAACGTGACGCAAGAGATCGCCAGGGCTGCGTGCATCGGTACGACGGCTCCTAATATGCTGCTGTTTCCTGAGTCTGACGATGTCTGCTTGAGTTCTATTAAGATGCATTAAGCCCACTTTCTGGTCCCAAAAAGGCATGCATTCTTTATGATTGATTACTGATGTGGCCACCGGCAGCTCCACCGGATGCCCCCATAAGAACTTTTAAGGTACCAAATGAGCCTTAATTAATAGTAAAAAATAGCTGCTTCAAAACCAAAACCTCGGAAATAAATATCCATGTATATTAGGAATTCGAATTCTTTCTAGGTTGTATGGCAGTACCTCGTGCGGCACAATCAAAAATCATTTGAAATTCAACGAAGACGTCGTAAATCCCGGTCCAGCTTTGGAGAGATTGCGGCCAATTTATCGCTGTACGATTTTCCTTATTGTAATTCATGTTGACAGGTTTGTAGGCCCTTCGCCTCATCTGTACGTTTTTGTTTAAATTAACACAATTTTTGGTTTGACCGCAAGACTCGAAATACACACTTCCGACACATGCGCCACTTACTAACCGGTCGCACGTTAGATGACACCATATTCCACCGCATCTGGATGGACAAGTTGCCACATCCGATGCAAC